GCCTCGGCCTCCCAGAGCACTAGGATTACAGGCATGAGCCACAACACCCGGCCAAATGTTTCCTTTTTACCACATCTATGCCAATATCTATTGTATTTTGACTTTTTAATAATGGCCATTTTTAATTGGAGTAAAATAGTATCTCACTGTGGTTATAATTTGCATTTCCTTTATGATTAGTGATGTTGAGCATTTTTTCATGTCTGTTGACCATTTGTATATCTTCTTTTTAAAAATGCCTGTTCATGTCATTTGCCCACTTTTTAATGAGGTTGGTTTTTTCTTGCTGGTTTGTTTGAGTTCTTTGTAGAATCTGCATATTAGTCCTTTGTCGGACACATATTTTGTGAATATTTTCTCCCATTCTATAGATTGTCTATTAACTCTTCTGATTATTTCTTTTTCTGTTCAGAAGCTTTTTAGTTTAATTAAGTCCCATTTGTCTATTTTTGTTTTTATTGCATTTGCTTTTCGGGTCTTAGTCATAAATTCTTTGTCTAGGCCAATGTCCAAAAGAGTTTTTGCTAGGTTTTGTTCTAGGATTTTCACTGTTCCAGGTCTTACATTTAAGTCTTGAATCCATCTTGAATTAATTTTTGTATATGGTGACAGATAGGGATCCAGTTTCATTCTTCTGCATATGGCTATACAATATTCCCAGCACCATTTATTGAATAGTGTGGCCTTTCCCCAGTATGTGTTTTTGTCTGTTTTGTCAAAGATCAGTTGGTTATAGGTATATGGTTTTATTTCTGTGTTCTCTATTCTGTTCCATTGATTTATGTGTCTGCTTTTATGCTAGCACTGTGCTGTTTTGGTTACTATAGCCTTGCAGTATAATTTGAAGTCAGGTAATGTGATGCCCCCAGTTTTGTTCTTTTGCTTAGGATTGCTATGTCTATTCAGGCTATTTTTGGTTCCATATGAATTTTAGAATTATTTTTCTAATTCGGTGAAAAATGACATTGGTATTTTGATAGGAATCAAATTGAGTCTTTAGATTGCTTTGGGCAATATGGTCATTTTAACAATATTGATTCTTCTGATCCATTAGCATGGGATGTTTTTCCAATTATTTGTGTCATCTATGATTTCTTTCTTCAGTGATTTGTAGTTCTCCTTGTAGAGATTTTTCACCTCTTTGGTTAAATTTATTCCTAGGTTTTTTGTTTTTTTGTACCTATTGTAAATGGGATTGAGTTCTTGATTTGGTTCTCAGCTTGGTTGTTTTTTGTGTATAGAAACGCTATTGATTTTTGTATGTTGATTTTATACCCTGAGACTTTGCTGAATTCATTATCAAATCTAGGAGTTTTTTGGAGGAGTCCTTAGGGTTTTCTAGGTATAAAATCATACCATCAGCATACAGAGATAATTTGACTTCCTCTTTTCCAATTTTGGTACCCTTTGTTTCTTTCTCTTGCCTGATTGCTCTGGCTCTAACTTCCAGTACTATGTTAAATAGAAGTGGTGAAAGTGGGCATCCTTGTCTTGTTCCAGTTCCCAAGGGAAATGCTTTCAACTTTTTCCCATTCAATATGATATTGGCTGTGAGTTTGTCATATCTGACTGTTATTTTGAGGTACATTCCTTTTGTGCCAAGTTTTTTTTAAAGGTTTTCATCAGATGGTGGATTTTATCAAATGCCTTTTTCCGCATCTGTTGAGATGATCATATGGTTTTTGTTTTTAATTATGTTTGTGTGATGAATCACATTTATTGACTTACATGTGTTGAATCATCCCTGTATTTCTGGGATGAGACCCACTTAATCGTGGTGAATTATCCTTTTGATGTGCTATTGGGTTTGGTTTGCTAGTATTTTGTTGAAGATTTACATCTATGTTCAACAGAGATATTGGTCTGTAATCTTTTTTTATTGGATCCTTTTCTGGCTTTGGTATTAGGGTGATAGCGGCTTCATAGAATGAGTTAGGAAAGATTCCCTCCTTCTCAATCTTTTTGGAACAGTTTCAGTAGGTTTAGTACCAGTTCTTTGTATGTCTGGTAGAAATCAACTATGAATCCATCAGATCCTAAACTTTTTTTGTTTGGGGGGAAATTTTTTATTATTTAATCTCATTACTTATTATTGGTTTATTCAGAAGTTCTGTTTCTTCCTGGTTTAATTTCAGGAGGTTGTATGCTCTCAGAAATTCATCTATTTCCTCCAGGTTTTCTAGTTTGTGAGCATATCGTTGTTCATGATAATCTCTGATAATCTTTTGTATTTCTGTAATATCTGTTGTAATGTCTCCTTGTTTATTTCTGATTGTGTTTATTTGGATCTTTTCTTGTTTAGTTTAGTGGTTTGTCAATTTTGTTTATCTTTTTGAAGACCCAAGCTTTTGTTTTGTTGATCCTTTCCTTTGTTTTTTTTGTTTTTTTTTAAATCTCTATTTCATTTAGTTCTGCTCTGGTCTTTATTATTTCTTCTCTTCTGCCAACTTTGGTTTCAGTTTGTTCTTGTTGTTCTAGTTCCTTGAGGTACCATGTTAGGTTGTTAATTTGTGATCTTTCTGCTCTTTTGATGTAGGTATTTAATGCTGTAAATGTCCCTTTTAGCACTGCTTTTGCTGTAGCCCACAGGTTTTCATATGTTGTGTTTTCATTTTCATTCGTTTCAAAAATATTTTTAATTTCCACCTTTATTTCATTAACCCAGTGATCCTTCAGGAGCATGTTGTTTAATTTCCCTGTGTGTATAGTTTCTGAAGGTCCTCATCATATTGATTTCTAGCTTTATTCCACTGTGGTCTAAGAATTTACTCGATATGATTTCTATTTTTATAAATTTGTTAAGATTGTTTTGTGGCCTAAAATGTGGTCTGTCTTGAAGAATGTACCATGTGCTAATGAAAAGAATGTAGATTCTGTAGTTTTGGGGTGGAATGTTGTATAAATATCTGTTAGGTCCATTTGGTCTAAGGTCCAATTTAAGTCCAATGTTTCTTTATTTTCTGTCTTGATCTATCTAGTTCTGTAAGTGGAGTGTTGGTGTCCCCTACTATTATTGTGTTGCTGTCTATCTCTTTCTTTAGGTCTAATAATATTTATTTTGTGAATCTCGGTCCTCT